AAAAAATTATTTGTTTGATTAAAGAAATGGAAATTGTTTTAAGTGAATATTGTAAGAGCTAATTTTTTAGTAAAAGAGATTATTATAAATTACTATGAAACAGTAATAAATATATAATGTATATATTAAATAATTTTATTATTGCGCTCTATCATATTTTTCATTAATATAAGGTTGCTGATCCTAGTTAGACATATATATATACGTCTAACTAGGATAATATGCAACAATTAATTTTTTTATATCAGTAAAAAAAAAGGAAGAATTAATGTTATTTAAAACGTATAGGAGAAAAATATATGTATACGCACTATTTCCGATTCCATTATAATGTCATGAAATCCCAATGACATGCAGTCTGTTTTATTATCTACAATATATATACGTGAATCTTTTTGGTTAGAGAAATCTTTTAACAATTTAATTTGGAAATTGAAATTTGTTTCTTTAAATGCATTCTTCTCCATATGTGTCATATCTATATCATATGTGATATCGCAAATATAACCAGATAATGTCGTTACATTTTCGATCAAACTTGAATTTAATGCATGATTCCTTATATAAAAAAATAGGTTGAATTGACTCCCAATATCAGAAATAAGCCTGCTGTATATTTTGTTGCGATTTTTTTCGTGTTGTAATATACTTTGTAAACCATAATAGTTGAAATCCATTCTAAACGACTGTTTGTCTTCCAATCTATTCCACACAACTGTTTGAATCAAATTTGAATACTTTGAAATCATGACATTATGTAAATCACAGTAAAGACTTTCCATCAAAAAGGGATGACATGTTACTGCAGAACTTATTTGTATAGTTTGGAAAAATTTCCCCATGTCATTATATTCTATCACGGTTTTGTTCACCTCGAATAAGTATTTTGGATCAAAATCTGATTCTTTTGAAACATTTGCAAGTATTCCTAAATAAATAAATAAATAAAAAGTTTTGTTAAATACAATATTTGTAGAACATTGTCATTTGTTATCACAAAAATTAATTTTGTAATTTATCTTTCAAAAATTTATGATTATATCTTAGTTTTAGATTAGCTAAAATAAAATTTTTAATGGAAAAAAAGGTTTTAAAGCTTAAAAGATCATTGCAGTTTCTAAGCTCTTGATTGTAATTTTAGTATTTTTTTACATATAGAAAACTACGAGTTGGACAAAATGAAATTTTCTTTTTACTTTTTAAAAATATTGCTGGTCATAATCCAAAAGAAATTTGCAAAAATTTTCGGCTCTCTATGTAGAATTGGATTTGGACATTCATTGTACTTATATTGTTAGCTTACCAAGGAAGAATGGGATCAAGGAGCGTTCAGCAGCATCATGAAGCAATATCCTCTCAGCCAATTTCATCCATTTGTTCTTTTTCCACTTTTTGAATTTCTTTATATCAGAACATATTCTGATACTTATCATTTGAACTTCAGATAAAACTTTTTCTCGTTCTTGTACAATGTAATATGATTTAAGTATTTATTTTTTGTCTTTATACCATAAGTAAACAATATTTCCTGTAAATATTATGCCTTAGTGGTCAACACACATTAGACAATGTTTTTCATTTAGGCCCGTTTCTATCAATGTAGATTAACTTTAATTTCAGTTCAATTTACTCTTTATCTTTTTCTAATTCTCAGAACTAGAAAAAGATAAACAGTTAGTTAACTCTTTACCAAGAGTTAGTAAATCGAGATTAAAATTAAACTAATATTGATAGAAACGGGCCTTAGTGACGCAAGTCGACTAACGATCGTTCTGTTTCTTTGCATCCCACGAGTAACAAAGAACAATATTTATATGTTGCAACTAAAAAGCACCCAATAAAATTATATGTTCAAATTTTCTATTACATCTTATTTTATGTAAAATGAAAAATTTTAATAATAGAAGATTAATTATTACGTTAATATATGTATAATTAGAATATGTACTGGGAAAAAATGTTTTATATATAATTATATATAATTATATGTACATATATATCCATTATATAATATCTTGATATTACAATAGAGCAAAACTTTAGCTTTAAAAATTGGTTTTTTAAATTGCGGTACAATAATTTTTAACGAAGTCAATCAAAATCAAAATGCTCCTTTTATTTAATTCGCGATAACTCAGTAACAAAAGAAATCTAAGGAACATTTTTAAAAAACAATATTGTAGAGAAAACTTTAAGCTTTCACTTGGATGGAAAGTCGAAAATTTTTGCAAATTTTTTTTTGTCCAAATGATAGACCCAAAGTGAAAAAATTTTCTATCTTTTTCAGTTCGTAATTTTGTATGTAAAAATTATCAAACTCATAGAAACTCAAAAAACATAATAACCTTTCGAAAGTAAAGATTTCAAGCTTCAAACCCGTTTTCTTAAATTTAAATTTCGTTTATTTTTAACGAAGATATTGTAAATACAATTTTGTCCTAAAAAAACAGCACGAACTTTCTAATTCAGTTTTTTTCTCAGGTCACTAAAGATGACACATAAGAACTAATTTTTCTTCTAGTAAGAACAAAAGGATTGATAAAAATATAAAACACGTATAGAAAAGTATATGCACCATTTCCAACTAGATAAAAAAAATCCGAACGTTCGTATATAAGACGGCAGTTCTTTCTATTCTTTTCAATAATTAAACATGAATATTTTTGCAGAGAAATTCTTCATCATTGTTAATGTAAAATTGGAATTCGAATATGTATTTGCATTTATCATATGTCCGATATCTATGAACTCGGTTGAGCAATCGACAATTGATATCTTTTCATGTTTTATGAATTTCAATGAAAAAGGAGTTCTAAAAAATGATGCATATTGAAAAACATCAATACCTATGTCAAATTGCCAAACAACATATTTAATAAGACTTTTGAGACCACATAATCAGCGTCTTTTTGTATAAATGTAAACCCTTAATCTGAATTTAGTTTCAAACCACTGTCCGATTTGAATTGTTCTCTCGTGATCTCTTCTCAGTAAAATTCAAACTTTTATACTCCTATCTCGTCACGTATACGATGTTATGTAAGAAAAAACGAAGACTTCATCGGTGAAAAAGAATGACATTTTATTGTAGAAGTAAAATCAACAAAAAATTACGTCTTGGATATTTCCAACATTTTTTTAATAGTAAAATAAAAATTATTTCTAAATTCTATATCTAAAAAAACAATTTTCATAAGAGAGAGTTATATTATTTTTAATAGATAAACGCGATGCACCTTCAACATGTAATATGATATTCTTTAAGAAAAGTGAGCATTACTTATATTACATATCATAATAAATTATATCAAGGACAAGAAAAAAATCATAATTTTATCAAATGTAATTTAATGGTACTTATATGAGGCTCCAACTTTATTAATTATTCAGTATCAGCACTTTATTCAAATCAAGTATAATATATACAATGAAGTATAATATGAACCACAATTAAGTAAACAATTTATATGCAAATATAATATATGTAGAATGTACGTTTTTTTCGAGGTTTGATATATTTGATTAGTATGTAAATCAAATGTATCAAAATGCATCGAAATATATCAATTTCGGACCATATATAATGGGCATAGGGATTAAAATAAGCAGCTCGATACGGTACAATACTAATTAGATTTAGTAACGTTGTTTCTCTAAACAGACGTGTATCTGAAGACCATGAAGCAAATGGTTATTGTATCTTCAGTATGGTGGAAATATTAAATTTATCAGCGATCACTGTATGGACATATTTTCCCCGTAAGATTTATCATTGAAAAAAATTTAGTTTTTTTGTAGAAATGTTGAAATCGTTTATAAGTAAATATAATAAAACAATAAAATAAATTCAATATTTCTAATAAAAAATGATTAGATTATAGAGGATATGGTAAATATTTTTAATATAAAATTCTCTATTATTATAATACAGCAGAGACTGTCTTTTGTATTCATAAATTGAGCTGACATGTTACTGTAGCAGTATATTGTGTAGTTTGGAGAGAATCCCTGAATACTACAGTGGTTTTGTCGCCTTAAAATCCTTAGTTATCGCTCCCCCCTCTCTCTCTCTCTCTCTCTCTCTCTCTCTCTCTCTCTCCCCCTCTCTCTGTCAAGAATATTCTGCGAACCATATTTGTCTTTTTAAAGTTCATGTAAAGCCTTATACATAAACTTTCTATTAAATAATTTTCTATTATGAATAATCTTATTTTAAATAAAAAGAAATATTTCAACAATAAAAAAAGAAAAATAATTATATCTTAATATCACAACGTTATTTTACAAAAAATAAAATTTATTTTAAATTCAGAATTAAAATAATTAAAATAAAAAAATATCTTTTTAAGTAATTTCCCATTACATAATAAATTTAATTTAAAAGAAATGTATACATCTGTGTGTGTATGTGTGTGTGTGCGTGTGTGTGCGCGCGCGCGCGTTTGTGCACGTGCGTGCGTGTGTGTGCGTGTGCGTGTGCGTGCGTGTGCGCGCGTGTGCGTCTAGCTTCTACTCGAGACTACTTAAGTTTCTAATTTTTTATTTTCTTTTATCGTATAGAATTACTAATTTTTTAAATTCTTTCATTATTAAGTACAAGTAAAACATTTTTTTATCGATCCTTAATTATATCAACAAAAGATTAGATATATCTTAATAATTCAGATTCTGGTATATAATTACTAAATAAACTTAAATGTATGATATATATTTTAAGAGAATTCAGTATTTTCTTTTATATTTAATAACATAATAAATATCATAATAATTTTTTCAAATTTTATTTAATAATATTTTTATAACGTTTCAGGTATCTAACTTATATTAGTAAATTTTATATTAGTAACTTATATTAGTAAATATTTATAACGTTTCAGGTATCTAACTTATATTAATAAATCATTTAGGATTAAAAAAAATTAACAAATTAAATATAATAAACAAAATTGAATATGAATAATTAAGCAAAAAATTTACATATCAATATAATATAATGTGTGTGTGTGTGTGTGTTTTCAAAGTTTGATATATTTGATTAGAGTAAATCACTCCATTAAATTAATCCACTTGTATTTTTCTCTAGTAAGAGGATCAAAAACTTTAGTTTTAGATGTAATGTTAGCTAGGCCAAGATGCGTTGTTTCCCTAAATACAGGTGTCCCTTTAGGATTCCATGGATCAGGTGGTAATTGTACTTCCATTGTGGTGGAAATATTTAATTCATCATCGAGTATTTCCATTGTATGAATATATTTTTTCTGTAAGATTTATCAGTAAAAAAATTAATTTTATACAGAAATGTTAAAATTGTTAAGTAAAGATGGCATTATGCTAAATCCAGTATTTTCAATAAAAAATCATTGAACTATTGAGGATAGTAAATATTTATTATATAATTCTATTAATGTTCTTTTTCTTTTCTCAATAGTAAAAAAAAATGATTAAGACATTAAAGCATTAATTACTGAGAATCATTGAAACGTAAATAATTATTTTTGTTCCTATTTTAAGAAACGAGAGTTATAAAAATATAAAGCATATGTAAAGAAGTATAATATATGTATACACACCACTTGCATTCCATTCAAAAAATCAAAAAATGGCAAGGAATACTTGCAATCCTTTCTGATCTTCTCAATAAATAAATGTACATGTCTTTCATAACCTTCGTATACTGGGGTTTTTTCGTAAGAGGCTTTATGGCTTAATAATATAATTTGATTTTCCAAAATTTTATCTGTTTCTTCTTCTCTAAATTCATGAGTTGTCGAATTTATATTGAATAACGTCATGCAATGGCCTACTGCTAACTTTTCATTTGAAGTGAACTTAGGGATTATTTCACCACCAATGTGAAATTGAAAAGCGATCTCTTTAATCAAATCTTTTTTTTCAGTGGTTGAATTCACAAATAATTTCTCTAGGCCAATACTATTAAACTTAATTATAAACCAATCATCATTGGTGTTGTATTCCTCATTTGTGACCTCGTTTGTAGTGTTGAGAGTTTGAAATGTCAAAGTTGAGAGAATATTGATATCATGCAAAAGACAAAGAAGAGAATCATCTTCACCTTCATCATTTTCACCTTCCTCTGATTTTTCGATCTGACATGTTACTGATGCAGTATATATTGTAGTTTGGAGAGGATCCCTAAATACCGTAATAGTTTTCCTTACATTGTAACTGTATTCCAGATTTCTGTTGAAAGGTGGGACATTTACTCTGAGCCCTAAATATACAAAATGTTTAATTAAATATCAAAATGTTATACATTGTTATAGAAAATAATCTTTTTAATTGATCATTTTAAATTTGTATTTGTATTTGGTTGTCCCAAATGTTCTTTCAATTTTTTTTACTTTATAAAGAGAAAGAGACTAAAAAACTTTATAAACACTAATTTATTGAAATATATATATTATTCTGCTTATACTAACTTCTAATAGCCTCCTAATAATTTTTTCATGTTTCTTTGTTTTATTAGTAAAATACTGATTAAGATAATTTTTGTTATGTCATTCAAAGAGCTGAATTTCTTTATCATAAAAAGATTTTTTTTGAAGGAAGTACCAAGTAATAGTCAGAATTTTAAGAAAGAAATTGAGAAAAGACGAGAGATTCAGAAACTAAGGTCTGTTCTTTTTCCATCCAAAGTTCTGAACTGATGTATACCGCAGCACAAGTTAGAGTGGAACAGCTATATAGTTTCATCAGAGAGAAACCCTCTGGTTTCATTCTAATTTATTGCACTGATTCTAGAACTAGTTTAGAATTCTTGAAAAAAGAACAGATTTTAAAAAAAGATGGGATATTCAAGTGCCAACAGCTTAAATTAGATAGATCATTTCCGAGATGTGCACTTTTTGATCATTTGAATTAAATTTTAATAGAGCATGATTCATGTATGCGTGCGCGCACGCGTGTGTGTGTGTGTGTATGATTCACTTTTATATTTATATATATATATAAATTATGTATAAAGTAAAAAAAAACAAATAAATTGTCTTTTAGGATTAATAACTATATCTTAAACATTTCTAGATTAATTGCAAGTCTGATTTTTTTTCTTAAAAAAATGTATATAAAGCACTATGTGTAGTTATTGAATTTGTTTTTTTTGCTTTTCAGCAAGAAATATAGATTACAATGTATATGCAAAATTTACATTGAGATTCTATGTACAAACTAATAAACAGATGGATTCAAACAGTTGTACTTTTTAGCTTACCCAGCAAGAACGGGATCAAGGTGAGCATCTGTGAGGACTGCATAATGCTATGTACTTCTAAAGACACGTCCGTGTATTCTCAGTTTAGTACTCTTTTGCTTCTGAACTGATCCTTTACATCAGAACATGCTCATCGTTTCACCTTCATAGAAAATATTTTAAGTTCGTTTGTCGTTACAGAGAGATATACAATTCCAACGAACTCTTCTCTCTATAACGTAAACAATAATCTAATGATGTTTACATCTTGCCAGAAAAACATACTTTATAAATCATCTCTTTTTTTCCTATCCTTCGTAAGATACAGCTATCTTATTGCAGACTTCCTAGTTTGTATTAGGATTTTATTTTATATAAGAAGACATATTTCAATAATATAAGATCAATTACATAAATGTGTTGTATATTAAAATATATGCATAAAACATATACATTTTGCAAAAGGTTAAATTTATTGTAGGCCCTGCGCACAATAGAAGGAATGAGGAATTAGGAATAAAGAATAAACGATTCTAACCTATCAGAAATCGGATACATCGGAATACATGGTTTCTGATAGGTTAAAATCGTTTATTCTTTCCTAATTCCTTATTCCTTCTATGGGCAGGGCCTTATATTCAGAATTATAATAGAAATATATCTTTAAATGTTTAATTATATGATTGTATATTTACATAATTAACATATTTAATTCAATATAATAATATATTTAAACACATATAAATATGTTTTTAAGGAGATACGTTGGGCGGGAATTAATTCAATTAATTCGCAATCACGGTTGCCACCTTTCCAGTTTTCAACTAAAAATGATATAAAACTTTTCGTTTATCTTTGACTCTCAATCTTTGACTCTCCGGAAAGAAATTCTCTGGCTAATCGCATAAAATTTTGTTCTTTTTTAAGTGCAAGTCTCAATTTTTCTTCGGTATTTGGAAAAATATTTTCGGCAGTAGGCATGAGAAGAGTCAAATCTGATAACCTTTTTTTAAATTTTAGTAATGGCAATCGATTTTTAAATTCGATGATTTTTTTTAGATGACGCATTACAAGATAGTTTTAATTTTGACAATTTCGACAATTTCGGTGTTATAAGCTATCGATCTCCGGCAAAATAATTGGATCTCCGGCAGGAAAAACGATCTCTAATGGAACACTAATCGTAAAGGTGACAACTCATGGCAGAAATGGTGGCAAATATTCAAAAGATGGAAATGAGTCCACATTCTCGATGTCGTATCTTTTCAATGGCGACAATGAGAATCAGGTGCGAGTAAACAAATCTGACGATGCGTTTCATGACGTTTTATGCACTTTTTTGTGGAAGACATAAGTTGGACAGACTGGACTTGACCGTAATCAATTGACAGTCGTGATTCAACGAACAGACAGTCAAAATTGTTCCTTTCGATCACGATGAGCGTGAAGCAGTACATCCACCCGAGAAATAAGTACAAACGACCGCCAGATTACAAGCAACTCGCGGTCTTGTATCCGGAATTTCGTGAAATCGCTATCATGGTACTACAATTGTACTCTACAATTTATTCATTACGTTTATAATGCAGATGAAATTTAATGTAATCTATAATATATTACGAGTATTTACAATAAACATAAGACATCCATATATGATATATATGGATATCTTATGTTTATATTGTAAATATATTTAATAATATAATGTAAGTGTAATATATTTAGTTTTAGAAAACTTTAGATTTAAAAAAGACCAAGAAAAAAAATTAGTAAAGTAATAATATAACTGAACATATATACAAGAAAATGTTATAGAAAACTATTTTTTGTTCCATTTTTTTACATTCTCTTACATTATTTCTTTTCTTCAACTTCTGTATAATTTTTACGATTGAAGAAATATAAATATAACACTTGGATATGATATAAAGTAAATTATGTATATATGCTTTTTATTCATATTGATTGATTGATTACTTAGGACTTCACAGGAAGGGTTAGAATCGACTTCAAAGAGAGGAGAAGCCTGCATGTACTTACAGAGACACTTTTGAAGCATGATTTTGACTTACACGTGAACATCCCAGCAGATAATCTGAATCCGGCGATTCCACTGCGCTTAAATTATATTCTGTGGATGGAAGACTTGATGACTTATTCCAAATTAGAGATGGAGAAGGTTACAGGCATCGACATTGGTGATTATAAGACTGCTTTTGAAAACTCTTTCGATAAATCATTCAAACATTGCACTTGAAAAACAGAAACAAAAATTGGAGTTTATTATTGCAATTATATTATAAATTTATTTTGATATTAAAGAGTAATGTTAATGATAGCTATAATGATAAAGATAAATTCACGAGATAATAGTTTTCAAAATTAATGATGTTACAATAATGAATGCTATCTATCTTACAGTGTATATCTGTATGTTTAATATAATATTTTAGACTACTATACGAGATCTGAACAATTTCGTTTTAAATAGGAACTGGAGCAGTCTGTATATATGCTCTATTACTGGGAAAAATCTATAAGTGTCAAATGATTGGCACAGAAGTTGACAAAGGAAGTGTAGAGCATGCTCAGAAATGCATAAAGGAAAATAAATTACAAGATTTAATTGAAAGTAAGTGCTATTAAAACATTTTCTTTCATATTGAAGCAAAAGAAAAGCTATGAAAAGTAAATGTTTTTAGAATTAAAGTTTTATTTCATGTAACGGGATTTTCTGATATAGTAATTACAGTGAACTCCGATAGAATTTTTAAGGACGTAGTACAGGATAATAGAGTTTATGACTTCTCGATGTGCAACCCACCGTTTTTCGAGAGTGAAGACGATGGCTTCGAAAAAGTCGAAAAAGTCTTACCACCGAGAAACGCATCTACTGGAAATGACAGCGAGCTGAAAACCGAAGGTGGTGAAATAGGCTTTGTGACGAAGATGATCGAAGAGAGTGTCGAAGTGGGAGATCAAATAAAGATCTACAGCACTATGATTGGCAAAAAAGCTGACTTGGCTGGCTTAAGACGATTGTTAAGATCGAAAAATATAAAAAATATAACGTGGACGGAATTCTGCCAGGGTCACACAACACGGTAAATATATGAAGTTTATAAATTATCTTTCTATACAAAACCTGTCAATGTAAGTCTAATAAGTATGTTATATCATTAATCATTCATTATTTTGAAGCTTATTAAGGCCTTTGTTAACAGATGGGGTTTAGCTTGGAGCTTCCTTCCGCAAAACGTTGTCAACTTGACTACAGCACCTGTCATTAGAAAACATGGGAAGTCTATAGTGGGATCGTTAAGGAATTACAAAACCTCGATAACATTTCCTGTGAATGATAAATTTTCCTGTACAGATGATATAATTAGTTTTTTAAAAGTGACAGCGAAAGAGTTGAACGTAATGTATCATTTTCTTTACTTCTGATATTAAGTTTATGGATTATTTGCAGTTAAGAGTTAATCAAAAAATATTTGTTACGTTTTATTTTATTATCAACAGATCAAGTTGCAAGACGTACCCATTTCCGAGGATAGTTTCGTTAGCTGGGCGTGTCGAGTAACTGCTAGAAAAAGATCATGGGAACATATGCGCAGGAAGCGACGTTTAGTGCAACAATTTGGGTTAAAAAGAGCAAAAGGTGAAAGTTGTGAATGTATTAAGGAGAATACGTGCGTAGAAGAAACTTCAATTGAAACTGGAAATAGTGCGAAAAATTCAGATGAGGAAAGTTCTGATAAAGAATTATCTGACAAAAATGGTCCTTTGCTTGTTTGTAAATTTTGGGTAGAAGTAGGAAGCCGTGATGATTCTCAGGATATAATTACGCAACTTGATAAGATACTCAGGATATGGATGGTGTTTGAAAATGGATATGGCGGTTTGGACGCGTTACATTCGTTGCGACAGTATCTGATAAACAAATTGAAAGTGAGGGAAAAGATTTTAGATAATCCATCGAAGAGAAAGAAAAAAAGGGTTAAAAAAGAATGCTAATGAGAGAGTCCATTACTTCAGGTGTATTCGAGCAACAGAAAAAATTCAGCGAACAATAAACAGGTTGCAGAAAATTCTGAAGAGAATTCTTAATTAGATCGTATTACATATAAAACAATTTATTCCATGCAATATATTAAAAAAAATTTACAATAGGATAGTATATGTAAATCAAATTTTTGTAACGTTCTTTTTATTTCATGATGTATGTAAAGTTTTTTGTGTGTAATTATATCCCCCCTTATAATTATTTTTTAGTTATTCTCCCTTTATAATACAATTTAGCTAATTTAAGTGCAATGTGATAATTTTTTTTTATTACGATTATTATTGCAATGCGAAAATGAGTCCGTCGAGAGTCGACGGCAGAGATTGATTGACTGATTAATTGAACGTTCGTTTGCTGCAGAAAAATTGCTTTCTTCAGGCCTGAAATCTCACATAGAATCTACGAGGATTGCGAAATAATCAGCACTATTTTCTGTAATAAACAAAATCAGAAGTTCCGCTATACGGCTATCGGACAATCGATATCGCGATATATCGCTCTTCGATCGAACCACGGCGAGAGGTTCCGAATCGCTGCGGATAGATCAGTAGAGTGGATGAAATGAATTATAATTAATATTAACAGCAGGGTAACAATCGATTCCTTTACTTATGATCCTAAAACTAATCGCGGAACTTGAAATCAACTACTATTCGCAATGACTCAATTAACAATTGGCCATTGGCATCCTTAATTACATGATCAAATAACAATGCCATTCGCTACATCATACTTTCATTACCATCATTTTCAATACCGAATTAAAGATGTATAGTATAATTTTATATCAAGCAGGCACATTAAGAAAAATTTGAATTTAAGAATATCTATAAAAATATGGAAGCACCTTCTCGCGATTAATAAAAGAAGAAAGGAGATGAATTATATTTGTATGAATTAAAATAAATCGTAACTTTCTTTTTTTTCTTTCGGTGGTAATTAAGATGAAAATATGTCTAAATGACACATAACGGTGATTGCGAAAAAAGGAAAAACAAAATAAATTTATTGAAAGCGAATTCGCAAATAACAGTGCATAATGTATTATAATACATATATTAATGCATATTAAAGCCTGTGTATACGCTATACATTTATAATTGAAATACAATAACGACATAATTTAATATTTACCAAGCATTGTGGTAAAATATTAAATTATTCTTAACGTCT